TCTCTTGCCCAATTCACTACCAATCGGGAGTCAATATGAACTAGTGTGCCAATATGCTAAAGGCATATTTCATCTCACAAATTTATGTTTTGGAAAAAAATATCTTTTGGAGTTTAACACATATCGTTGCTAAACATTTGATCGGTTTTATTTATTTATTTTGTTGATCTAAATTATATGTTATACTGCGTGTATACAGATATATAAATTGGGTATAAGTTAAATGTGGATGAAGGGAGAGACAGGGCGAAGGAGGGAGAGATGGAAGTTAGCATATTTGCAGATGATTAAGAATTCAATCTTAACACATTTTGATCAATTCACTAAAAGAAATCCCTGTTTCTTCAACTTTAAGCTTATCAGGAATCAAACTCATGTAGAATTTAGACTCTTCTGACCCAGCTAAGGTCGATTGCTTTCATAATGTATTGTTTGAAAGAAAAATATCAAGACTTGATGCCATGCAATGTATCCTGTGTTCTCCTGACTCTAATTTGATATGAAATTCTTGTTTTTCACAATGTCTTAATTATGAGCATCCTTAATTAATTAATCCACATGCCAAGAAAGAATGTTTACAAGGTACAGGAAGTCACTTTCATTATGCCAATACCAAATAAATCCCATTTCCTGTTTTTAATGTTTGGACTAGTCCCACCAAATAGCTTCAAACAAATTAATATCATCCCAAGTTGATTACTGATGAGATCAAAGTATTTCAGCTTTGAAGAAGTTTCCTGAGAAAGTATGAAGTGGAAATCATTAACCCATCGTCTACCGGAACCGGTTAGTCTCTGTATTAAGCCTATGGGAAATAGAGAATTCAGTGGTCAAAGGGTTTATGTTTTGCTGGACCAGTCGTCAGTATTTGCTGTATCTTCAATGGAATAATTTCTCTGCTTCTACTGATGTATTAATAACATATTTGATAAAAGGGGCAACAACAAGGGTTAGGGGCATTTGGAAAAATAGCTTATTAGCCACTCTTTCCTCACTATTTTTGTTTTTTGTCTGAAGGATCTATTTTTCTATTAGCAAAATTTGCACTAAAACATTGTATAGTACAGAATGTGTTAGTTGTTCCTGTTCACCTTCTGTATTGCGAAGTAAGGGCAGCGAACTCTATCGGTGTTTGTGAGGCATAAAGGCCATTGATTTGCGGCAAATACCGATCGAGCAAAGTTCGATTCGCCATGACAATAGAGCCAGTATGACTCATCAGCAAGCAGATGTTTGTTTAAATCGCAATAAATGGAATATGTTTTTTTTTTCCTGGGTAATTTGTGAATTGGCAATAGTGCGTGGAAAGTCAAGTAGGGGTTAAACCCTCGTAAGAAAGACCGATCGTCACGGTGGTTTGGAGTTGTATGGTAGAGCGTAAGGCGTGACTTACAAAGTTATAGTTCCGATTGTGGGGCATCTTTATTTGATGATGAAGTGTGTCGCTGCTGAAAGCGATAGGTTGGGTTTTTGGAATAAAGGCCTTTTCAGGATTATGTGAGATAATGTCAGAGACGATTTTGAATGCCTTTTTTGTGTGCTTCTTTTGCTAAATTTAATTCTGTTGAATTGCTTTATCAGCATATGGGAAAATATTCTTTTCTATAAAGCCATAATTCTGTCAATCTTTCTCTCTTATATTCAGTCTTTCATTCTCTCCTTTTTCTTTAATCTTTCTGTCTCCACATCTTTATCTTTTATCCTCTACTGAGTTCAAGTGATACATTATACTCTTTAGCTTCTGCAGTACAATGCTTGTGTCCTCCATTTAATACTGCAGTCCTTAAAGGTAATACAAAGTTTTGGGAAATTTTGAAAATTGGGTGGATAGTGAATCTTTACAATTTTGATATATTTGGATGCCCCTGTGGATGTATTATAAGCACTAAAAAAATTAACCCCTAAAACACTTCTGTTTTCGAGAAAAATTGAATATAAAAATTAACCGGTGATCCCGGTAAATTTTGATAAATTTCAAATAGCGCCTACGGCCGTACAATGGTAGCTGCGACCATGAAAATCTCAGAATATGTAGTTGTGATATATAATTTCCAAACGGGAATAGCTAATCGGTCGATTTTAGTCAAGAAACATTGTTTCATAGCTAAATTGGTATCTTGACCTTGAGAGGGAGCTATACAACATAAAGGGTTTATTATTTATAATTTCATAACTTTAGACTCGATTTCAACCTGGACAACGATCAATGAATATTGTAGGAACGCATATGCTTCCAATATGTTAATTTGAACCAAATTCATGACCCCATACCAAAACTTTGTATTACCTTTAAAGGTACTATGTCCCTTTTGCAGCCAACCTCAAATGCTGTAGAACTTTGCAGGAATTATGAATATGTCATGTATGTCCTATCTGTGAAATTTAAACGTTAGCAGTGTCCTCATATTCAAATTATGCAAGGAAACCCGTTTACTTGCTAGACTTCACTGTCAGACACTATTGAGTGACTGACTGGCTTTTTTTCTTCTTTGGTAATAACAGACATGAAAAGAGTTGTAAAGGGTACATGAGCATTTGTCAACATCAATAACCCACTTCTTGTGATGGCCAAGATTAAACTGATTGAATCTTTGCGCAGCATTAAATGTATGACCATTCGGTACAATTGTCTGAAAATCAAGACTATTACTTTTGGGCTCTATATAGCCCTAAAGTCGATTTGACAACTAATAGTCGTTATTTTCCCACTTGAAGACATTTTCAAGCCCCACATTTTTTAGGGAAGTTCTAAATAAGTATTATCTTTCAAATGCAGTTGGAATTTAACTTTTTCATTTTCTTGGCCTGCAAATGGGATATAGTACCTTTAAACTTAAAGGTAGGCTTTACTACTTCAGCAAGAAGGGATTAGACCGCCCAGCGAGCCAGCGAGGTCACTGTGACAGGTGGCTATCTCATTAACTCAGCTCTCATTTAACATAAGAAAAAGAGGATCATGGGGGACCAACAGGCACCGATTGGGGAAGTTTTCTTTATAGCGGGAGCAATTAGTAGCTACAAGTAGGACAGTGTGCCTTTAATAAATGGTATCACCATCTAAAGGTGACAAAGACACTTGATATGTCGCCAAGAATATGACAGAGATAACACTAACCCAGCTCCTTCTCACATTGCCTTTGTTAGTTTTTGTTGACACCCGGCGATTCCATCAGGTGATGATATCTAGAGTGGTCATTACGGGAGGCGTGAACTTGCTTATGACCGGCCACCTGGGGTTCGGGCGATTCTTAAATTATACGACTCATTTGAAATGATGATAACAGTGATGGTCTGGTTGTGAGATTAGGTTTGACCATGCTAATTGCTATTGGACTTGGCTTTGTCCAAAACATACTGTAGTGGTATATCTAGAGTATTATTATGAATCATCCTGAATCAGCTAATGGTAAATTGGCCCCCAAAAACTGCTGAAAAGTTCTGTAGGGGTTCAAAAAACAATTATTTCACGATATATCAGTGATGCTGAATACTTTGACAAGCAGTACGGAATATGGTTAAGGGATGTACATTTATAATGTAGCGTATATTGGATTACAGATGAAATTGGAAAATTGGAAGAAACACAAGAGAAAATGTGAAAGATACATGATTTAACAATTTGTGGAGTGGAAGTTTATAGAAGGGTTTATTAAATAGTGGGAAAGAAGAGGGGAAGGAGATATAACTGGTTTAAAAAACATTCTTGCAGGAGGAGACGCTTATTCACATGTTTATATTCTTGCACAATGCACCTGAAAATGAGTTATAAACAAAATAACAAATTGCTCTTTACTTTGACCTGTTTATCCCTTAAAGGTACCATGTCCCCTTTGCAGGCCCAAAAAATGAAAAGGTTAAATTCCAACGGCATTTGAAAGATAATACTAATTTAGAACTTCCCTAAAAAAGGTGGGGCTTGAAAATGTCTTCAAGTGGGAAAATAACGACTATTAGTTGTCAAATCGACTTAGGAGCTATAGAGCCAATAAGTAATTGTCTTGATTTTCAGACAATTGTACCGAATGTTCATACGTTTTATGCTGCGCAAAGATTCAATCAGTTTAATTTTTGCCATCACAAGAAGTGGGTTATTGATGTAGACAAATGCTCAAGTACCCTTTACAGCTCATTTTATGTTTGTTATTACCAAAGAAGAAGTTGTGACCTACATGTATGTGTACACATCACATAATTATACATACAGTATGACAATATCACGGGACATAGCCTGAGATTATCTTAGATGAAATCATCTACCGTCAATAAATCATGATATATCTTTCAGCATGCCAGTTAGCTGTCTCCATTATCTTGAAGTTCAAGTTCAAATTGAAAATGAAGAGTTGTCTTTCCTTTTCTGAAGTATTTTCTTTTCACTCTGTATCTTGAAGAAAGTTAAATTTAGCACGAGGAAATCATCTCTTTCAGTGAAATATTGGGCATGAATAAAATTGTCAAATCAACACAGCCATAATTTCGAATTTCTTCACAGATTATTCTGTCACTTTACAAGTTTACAACCAGAATGGTTATTTCCTTTGGACATCTATTTACGGAAACTGTAGTATTTCGGGATGACCCAATGACCTAGTATTGCTAATTTGAATTTCTTTTCGTAATTATATAATTGAAAAGACCTTTTCAAAAGTGTCCATCTTAAAGGATTATTGTAAAACCAGAAAGTTTTGTGAACAAAACTAAAAAAACAACTCTTTTCACAGTGTGAAAGTTTTGTGAGCCTGTACCACCTGTGAGATTAATTGCAGCGATAAATTTCATGCAACCTTTTTTTTGGTTTTCAGCAATCCATAAACTCGAACTTGGTTGTCCAATAAAGTGGCTTAAAGGAGCTATGAAGTTGAAGAAAAAAAAATATGGATTAAGTTTCATGTCTGATGTAATATTTAGTATGGTAGTTTTTATTTTTTATTACAAAAATTGTCTGTTTTCATTAAAAATAATTCCATATTTTTGTTTTTTACTTCTTCTTTTATTTCTAGATCCCAGTTGCAGTGAAATGTTTGAGCCCTGAGAAGCTAAGTTTGGACAAATGTCAGCAAGACTTCCTCAAAGAAGCTGCCATTATGCACTCACTCAACCATGAGCACCTTGTCAAGTTATATGGAGTCGTCTTAGATGTGGATAGCTCGCTCATGTTGGTAGGTATTGTAGAGATGGTTTAAATTAGAGATGGGGAGGGGAAGGGGGAAGAGATGGCATTATCAACTTGCGTTAATAACCAGTACATGTATAGCAGCTTTAATGAGGTCGGATTCATGTCATAATTAGATTTGAATCCCTCCCACATCATTATTACCATATTGGCCCTGAGCCATAGACAGTGTGTCATGTTCAATCAAGAAATTGTTTAGTACATTGTATCCTTCCAAGTTCATAAGCCTGTTATGATTGTACTCGTTAATGTACCCTGATGACGATGAAAGAGGGGCGATGAGGAGGGGAGGAGGAGGGGAGGGGGAGGAGGAGGGGAGGGGGAGGAGGAGGGGAGGGGGAGGAGGAGGGGGAGGGGGAGGGGGAGGGGGAGGGGGGGGGGAGGGGGAGGGGGAGGGGGAGGAGGAGAGGAGGGGGAGAGGAATATATTTATTAGCAGTAGTGGTGTGAGAACAAAACAAGAAAACAAAAATCACATAATAAACTACAACATCTCACACATATTACAACATCTTACACATGCCTGCTGGTTTGCTCTAGTCAGCCATTTGTGTATCGGTACATGTAGACCTATGGCTGTATACACTACTATCTACACGAACCTACACCTAGAAATGGATAAACAGGGGGCAGTGAAAATGACGGACTGGTGTCTTGTACCACTACGTGAGAATGTCTCATTCGTACCTAAAAAGCAGGAAAAAAGAAAGATAACAATAAGCCACCTGCTTTATGACAAAATTATGATGAGGGAGTTCCAACCATTTTAAAAGTTTAAGATGAAGAAGAAATATAAAAGTACAGGGAACAAAAAATATACAGAGGTAACTTGATCCAATGTCAAGGAAATGGCAGGATTTTTTCTTCTTCTATTTATGATATTGGGAATTTAAAACAAGGTGCACAAAATATATTGGTGGTGAAAACCGTGAATCATAGACTAGGAAATGATTGTGTAGGACTCGGCAAAGACAATCTCCTATCATTAAATTGATCACACCTCGTTCACCTCTATCTCTCATCTTCATACCAGTGTCTCATCTTCCGGGTATGGTCGGGTATGATAACCTTTGACCTTTATATCAGGTTCCTCCAATTGGAATTCCAAGGTCACATCTCAGATATTCAGAGGGCACAAATGAAGATAGGAGTTGAGATTGCACACCCCCTCGTGGACGACGGGGAAACAGGAAATATCAATAAACGTTTGTGAGTGTGATCACGAGATTGGAAATGAACGAAAGAAAAAGAGAAACAAGAAGTTGCAAATAAAGTAGGCAAAACAAATGCAGATGCAAGTGGATATTTTTAAAATAAGGAAAGAAAAGAGTAATAGGATACTGAAAAATGAAGTAGTCAAAACAAGTAGGCGTACATGTACAGATACTGAAAATGAGAAATGTATTACGGAATTAGAGGATAGGGGAATGAAATGGGGAAAACAACTGCAGATGCGATAGTGAAATCCATATGTGTAATAACGGAAATAAGATTTTGGCAAATGCAATGGAAATAGCAGGGATGTGTAATAGAAATGTTCATTACTGAAGCAGTGTGTAAGTTATGACTTATGAAATATTTCAATGTTTTCATTGATCAAGACAGCTTACACGCTAATCGTACATGTATTATCTGAATAGTAATGAATACACCTCCTGGAGACACTTCTTCTCTTTTTCTTTATTATGGCTTTTCTTTATTTTAGGCCACTACACAAGGCACTAAGTATTTTAACTTTCACTTTGGAATGAATGAAACAAAAATAGATTTTTTTTTTTTAAGGATCGCAAGTATGTAGTTGTGTATTTGTCAGATTTCTGTCCTTACATCTTCATTTATGTAAAATACTTATAGGAATTAATCTACTAAGCTCTCACAACTCCTGCTGATGTTTTAAGCTATTAAGCATGTGACTTTTGAATTAATGCATGGCTCTCTCAGCCTCAAGTTCAGAAAAACCAACGCAAGTTTATCGAGGTACGTGAACTCCCTTTAGATGCTTTAAATCCCAGCATGGGACTTCTGAATTACGAGTAGACTCTAAACCAGCCTCAAGTTCAGAATGGCCACCACCAGTTTTATCTGTTGAGGCCTGAGAATTCCCGCTAGATGCTTTAATCTCGGCATGGGACTTCTGAATTACGAGTAGGCTCTACAGGTCTCAAGTTCAGAACAGCGACATCCGCCCAAAAGTTACTAGAAGTGAAAATTCCAAGGACATAGAGGGCCTTGAGGCTGAGACAGATTATCATGAAGACGATTTAAGCTAGGTTATCACGGGACCATTGTAGTTTTAAACATGAGATTTGTTAAACCTTGGAAGTTTTAAAGGACGACCCACTATAAAACAGTGACACTGGTTTACACTGGACTAAACTACTGGACTAAAGTTTTGAGTTTTAAACTAAGCCATGATGCAACCAGTCTTAATTAGAGATCAGCGAAACTTCTAAATTAATTGTGTCTGCATGGCTTAAAACTGAGTACATAATCACTTGTAATTTAAAACTTTGAATAAATTAAGTTCCGAAACCAGGAGTGTGTCTGCTCAAGACAACATTGAAATGTAAAACCATGAGCCCAACTTCAAGTTGTACAGACTCTGGTGTGAACTTGTAGGTTGACGAACAGCTAGGGGGGATATGGCAGACATTGATGTCGGGAGGGGGAGGGGGATTAGAAATAGATCCTAAGAAGTCAGGGGGCTTCCATCAGTCTCTGGATCTAGAGAGACGAGGTCACTGTGAGGGTGCTCTCATTTCCTCCGCTTGTCACTCTAGAGGTGATTATCTCGCCGGAATAAGGGTGACATAAAGGAGCAATATCTTCTTAATCTTGCTTTTCCAATTTGTTCTTCCGCATCCCCCCCCCCTTTGATTTCCTTCTTTCTCTACCTACCCATTTTTGTTCATTTTTTTCTCCTTTACTTCGCTTTGATTAACTTATTTTTCTTTCTTGTTTTTTTTTTATTCAAGCTCTTCTTCTTTCTTTCTACTCCTCCTTTTTTTTTCTTTTTCTTCCCACTTCTGCTTTTCATTTTCATGCCCCTCAAAACCTTACGTGTATGTATATCCTAATGAAATCTATTCAATTAATAAGTTCTTCAATACAATAATGAACATGGTACATTAACTAATACAAGGTACATTTCAGATTCAGTTTTAGCCACAACTTTTAGTTCTTCATTTTCTTTCTTTATTTTTTATATTTACTTTTTGCAGTATATGGTTTATGTTTTGCAGTGGACTTGTGATTTTTGTTTATGCAGAGATCAAATTATTTTGGGGGAATAAGACACTGTCAAGGGAAGCTTGCTTCATTTAATGCTCCAATAAGTTTTCCAATCACTCCCTCATGGTTCAAAGCTTTCTCAGTTTTCAATACATTTTACGTTTACTGATGCACATAAATTATTATTATTATGAGTCTTATTCAGAGTCAGTGCATCATATATTACAAATTTATGGCATTTGAGGGATTAATAAAAATGGATTCCATACATACTTCTCGAAAAAGAGAATACTGGTAGGCATAACAATAAAACTTGGTATTTTTCACAAGATTGCTTGCAGTTTTGGATAAACATGTTTTGTTTATGTCAGGCTAATACATGACTATTACTTGATAAGAGTGGGCTAATTTGACTGTCAAATTTGATTGTCCTTCTTGTGTTTGTACTTTTAATAATGTCAATGTGTGGGAAGATATTAATTTGCATCCTTGATTTCTCTAATTTAAACAAAAATCTTATTGTACATGCCCCATGGAATGTAAGGTGAGGAGGTCACTTATAAAGAGTGTAAATATTTGAATGGTTGCTTTTTAATATTGCGTTGTAACCGTTAATCTGTCATTAAATATAGCGGTACTGCTTCCGTTTTCACGTGGTTTCTTAATTTTGTTAATACCCTGAAAGATGCCATGAGAATCACCCCTGTTATTCTTGAAGTTGTTATAGCAGAGCATTAATTAATCTTCAAAATACATACATGTACATGTAGTTTGTGCCTTCAAATTAGAATGCTGAAGTTCTACAGGTGTATAAAACAAAAAAGTGAGCAATGTAGAATTAATCAGAGATGTAATCACACTTATTCTATTTTGACAAATATTTACTTGTAGACTTTTATTGTACATTATAGACAAAACTTATTAAGTTTGTGCCATTTATCACAGTATGAAGAGAGTTCTACCTTTCTATGTGTACTAGACGATCAAGTATACTCCTGTAACCTTGGCAACCCATACTATTGTTCTCACCTCCGAAGGGTCACATAGATGCCCCTTAGAGATCATGTGCATAGAGCATGAGGCCCCGAAACCAACTTTCCATATCTAAAAGTTTTCTCTCTCCAAGTTAACATAAATTGCCACCCTGAGATGATTCGCTGAGAACATCAAACATGAGGCCCTGAAACCAGCTCAATATTAATAATGATATTCCGCTTTTATATAGCGCTTTATACATCTACAATGGCTCTAAGCGCTTTACAGATATACTATTACCCCGATCATTGGATTCAGTGCTCTCCTGTACACACTGTGTGCACAATCTCCACTCCCTGGGGACCATTCTAGCCACTGATATCACTGTATTTTGATTACTTGATTCCTCTCCTTCATGTCACAAGATTTTCCCTATTGAGATAAGTAGCAAAATGAGACCCTGAACCTCCTACAAATGTTTATCAATTTCCTATCTACACTTTTTTTTTCTTCCAGGTCACAGAATTTGCCCCACTGAGATCACTAGCAGAGAACATGAAACAGGAGGCCCTGAAACCAGCATTCCCCATCACTCTCCTACTAGATTTCTCTGTTCAGATCACCGATGCAATGAGATATCTTCACATGTCAAACATCATTCACAGAGACCTGGCTGCAAGGAATATCCTGCTCTTTGTCGATGATGAGGTAAATTCAGAGTAGGGCCCCTTTTAATTATAACTTTTTTTATAGCAATAGTCACAGTCATTGGAATAAATGCATACAGTCAATCAATTGCAATGTATCCTAGTACTTAACATGTATATCAGTAACATTCTAATTTGTGCTCTCCATCCTATGTTCCAAAGATTGCAAGTTTTAAAGTACAGCTTGCTTGGAGTTCCTGTAGCCATTCATTACTCCTTGAACCTGCAGAAAGTGGAATACCAATGATGCTGCTTTGATCATACTGATTGCAGGGCCCTCAGGAGGAACTGAATTGATACTGATGAGGCTACCCTGGTTAAATAAGACATATTATTATTATTATTATCTTAGCTGAATAGTGGAACAAAGAAGCAGAGGGCGAATTCCAGTTTGTACGACTGACACTCCAGCAACAATCGCTCCCTGGTTAATATCCTATATGATTAATAAATCCTGAATGTTAACCCTCGTCGAGACAACTTACCGAAGCCTAAATCCTAAATGTAAACCTAAAGTTAACACACTTGAACCATAAACCTTACCCTATATCCATTGACCAAAATGAAGTGTGAGGCGACTGTCTCAAGAGCATATGCCAGAGCACCAAATTTGATTATTGAATGATGCCTGCATGTATATTGTGTAACTCATTAATGAGCCGACTTGTCTCTCTTTTTTCAGGGTAACAAGAAAGCCAAGATCAGTGACTTTGGTCTATCAAGAAGGTTATTACTAGGAGAGAACTATCGCAGCGAAATGAGACCAAACCTCAAGCTACCTCTAGCATGGTAAAGTGTCTTCAGTGCACGATTTAGGCACAGTTCATAAAAATGAGTTGTATGGAATCATCTAGATTCATCAAAAGGCAGTTCTTAATCACAGCATTTGGCTCCTTCTGGAGAAATAAAGAACCCCTATCTGCTTTTTGAATAATCTTTGTTGGATGCTCTCTCTTTGCACAATTACAATTGACAGAAGTATATGAGTTTTAAAGAGCTTAAGCATACATTTTGTCATTCCGACTCTGTTCTTTGGAGATCAGTTCTTCAAGCCATTCTTTTATCATCTTTTCATTCGTGTCCTTGAATTGAATTCAATTAATTCACCACTGTCAAAAAGACATAAAAAATCACAATTACAATGAAATATCTCTTACAAATATAGTCAAAACTGTCAAAAGTTCATCTTCTATATCTATTTTTATATTTGTACATCCTACATGTATTTATTGAATACAGTCGTAGTAGATAATATTACTTTTATCAAATTACCTCTAATGAGTACTCTCTTGTTTCCACTTCATTGTTGTGTTTTTTAGGATGCCTGTAGAATCCCTGACCAAACTCACATTCACCAAGGCCAGTGATGTCTGGAGCTTTGGAGTCACCATGTGGGAAATGTTCTCCTATGGAAGGAAACCTTTTGCACATTTATCAGGAGAAGAGGTAATTACTAGTAGCATGAAGTGTTCATGAAGGTCATGGGGTCAAAGGTTGGAGTGGGTCATCATCTGGGAAATGTTCTCATATGGAAGGAAACTATGGGCAACATTATTTCTGGAAGAGGTACATATTGTATTTAAAAAGAAGAGTTTGTAAGGGTCTTAAGGTCATGGGGCAAAGGTTGGAGGTGGGCACCATGTGCAAATGTTCTCATGTGGCAGAAGACTATGGATAGTATTATTGGCATATTAAGGGAAGGTCAGAGGGGTTGTAGGGTCATAGGTCAGACTGGAGTCATCATGGAGGAGTCTTTCTATGCATGATGTTCTGGTACAGTTTTATTAAATGATCAATGAAAGTGTGCCTTGTTTGTGCACTTGGAAAAAAAATCCTCAGCTCTGGATATCAGTGAATAACAACCACTTAATCTGTGTTGAAAGGAGGATCAGCATAGCGCCCTCTAGTGGGGGAATATGACAAGGCAAAAAGTTGTGTTTAGCGAATCAATGTGATTACGTTGAGATATAATGTACAGTGGGATTGAAGATCATTAGAGCCAGCTCTTACTGTACTATGGAGAGTTACATGTAGGTTGTAGGTTATTGGTATTTAGGACATTTCCTAGTATGGTAGTAATAACATGGATAATTATGTACTGTATCTCAAGATATACAAGAAAAGATGGAGGAGAAAGAGTGACAGGAGTAAAATATATAGGCCTATAAGAACATCATAGAGAATTTTGAAAGAGAGACAATTACAGAGACAGATAGACACTAAGAAAGAGAAAACAATAATGACAGAGAGAGAGAGAGAGAGAGAGAGAGAAAAGGGGAAAATACAGATTTATACATATTCAGGGAAGAGTAGAATGTTCCAAAGTGAAAATTCAAGGAAATTACCTTCTTGAAATGAAGAATAAATAGAGCGGAGCCATTGTGCTAGAGGTACAATTTTCCTCTCAGAGTTATGCTATATGTCAAGCACAAACACAAAACAGGTGTGGTACGTGTATGCATGCAGAGGTAGAGATTGCTGAGCAATGTAATTGATATCATAATCACTATAGCTTTCAAATTTTATTAGGAGACTTGGGCATTTAAATCTGGTGTGATTGGGTTATATCGAGCTTGGGCGGAGTCCATTTAAACTAGGTTATGAGGAAAGGAGTACTGCTTTGCATTCCAAGTGAGCGGCAGATAAGGAAAAAAATCTTGGCATGTAGTGATCCTTCACTGAAATGTATGATCCTGGTTGGATACATGTATGGTGAAAAGTTGAAGTAGAGATTGCCCAGTGCTAGTGATCTTTGCCTTGTACTGATAGTATTACATGTGGTATTTTATTTGGGCTAGCTTCAAGGCTAAACCAGGCACCCCTCAAGAAAATGAGCTCCACTGTTAAAGCTTGTGTAGGCTAACTTGCCCTTTTACTCAGTCTGGTATTAAGGGAGATGAGAAAGGATAGTCAACAGCTACTTTAATCATTCAGAGATAAGTTAAATTGAAGTGTCATATAAGTAAGGCTAGATACATGTATTGTTATTCGTTATTCAGGATATCATACAACTGTGCATGTATGTACTTTTATATTGCATGTAACTTTCCACTTATACCTATCCTTCATTTTCTGCCAGGAATTCTTTGCCTAAATATGTGTACATTCAGTTAATTCAGAAGCTTGATTATTAGTTTATATGAGTGAAGTAGGGCATATTTACATTCTAAAGATTGCCTCTGCCCTGCTTGTATCTGTAAATCATCTGCCTAAGCTTAAACCCCTTCCTCGGGTAAGTAACCTTTTGCTGTTAGTATACTGGTCTGGAAGTGGTCAAACGTGTCATTCTATTTATACAGCATTACATGGTAAAAGTTCAGGGACCTCATTGACCCTCTCCAGTTTCCTGGTACCTTGACAGGCGTAAATTGATGTTGGACAATCCAAGGCAGGCGTTCAGGTTCATTTGTCGGGTTAGAGCAGGAGCTGAGCATTGATCAGAGCAAAGACTTGTGCAGTATTTAACCCTTACTGTACTGGGCTATTTTGAGCACCCACTGACTGGGGGGGGGGCCTGGGAGGCCCCCCCCCCTATGATCTCGGCCGTCGATTGTCCGATGAACACGAAAATTTGCATGTTTGTAGATATTTACGTAAGGAACAAGATGGTATAATTAGTTTTTTCCGAATATGCAAATTTTTGTCGTTAGCCTAATTAATTATGCAAAATACGCTAATTTTATGCATTTTACCGAAAACGTGTCAAACTCCACTTTTTGAAAGTTAAAACTCATTATTCATATGAAACTTCTTTTCTAACACAAAAAAGTTATTTTAATGTAATTAATAATGATAATTTATGCAAATTTTGATGCGATTTTCATTTTTTTTTTTTTTTTTTTATGACATGCGCATATTAATTGTTATGTAACGCCTTACAGGTATATCCGATTTTGACGAAAATGGTATCAAAATGTGCGTAAGACTTCAGGGAAAAAAGTCATGAAACGACAATTCAAAATTCCAAGCGGTTGCGGCGCAATCTCCGAAAATGTCGAGGGGGGGGCCTCCCAGGCCCCCCCCCCCCCCCAGTACAGTAAGGGTTAAATGCTAGAACTCTGGATAGATATAAACATAGCAGTACAGTAATCTACTGTTGCAGTTACACTGTACATTTGCCTCTCTTGGTATTAGCCTTTTCTTTTGGCAACTCCCTGTTGTGATCTCATAAATCCTCATAGTTATGTATCCAAGCTTCTATTTTATTATCCCAATACCTTTTATTGATTTCTTAACAATTTGCTTTTAATAAACTAATCTTCTGCTCCCCCCCCCCCCCCCTTTGGGGGTTGTTGCTTAGAGCCAGAAAGTTTTAAACTCGTCAGTTCACACCACCAGTGCCTTTCTTTGCCTCAGTTTGCCTAGGTCCAGCCCAATTATGTAAAGACTGTTCAGTTTCTTGTGAGATGAGATGTATGCAGGAAGCTACTTGTATTTTTACCTTCCTGAAATAGAAATGGCTGACACCACATCCTAAAGAAGGTTTTCATGCCTAGTTAAACTTTTTAAGAAGAAGGATAAACTTAAGAAGAGTATTCTTAAAACATTAATTGTAGTAACTGTTCATAAATCCAGTGTCACGTCTGGTGTTAATGGCCTGTCTACCATACAAGTCTAGCATTGACCACCATACCTTTGTGGGTGTGAAATCTCAATTAACAACAATCCTGTCTGTCTCCTCCCTGTCACTGTCATTTCCTTTACAACCAACGACATCTCACTCAACAAGCCAAGTCCACATAATGCACTTTTGCTGGTTCTATCTTCTTCCCAATTATCACAACTCACTGTGCAAACCAAGACCACACAGCACACTATGCCTGCATTCGCCTTGGTCCTATATCTCACTTCTAGAACATGGAAACTTTCTTCTTCCAAACTACATCTTTCCATACAAATCTTGTCCACACAGGATACGATAGCTGCATTCACATTACAGAGGGTTTCCAGTTGTCATGGAAATCTGGATAACTTGGAAAACATGTTTTAAAAAATTCCAGTCGGAAAAAGTCAGAGAATTAGAGAAAAGCGATCAAATCAGGGAAAGTAAGGAAATTTCATCCACCCCCCCCCCCCCCACAAAAGCAGTTATTCTATATTTTGTTTCATGTCAAAACCATGCATGCATTGGATGATTGCCTGTGGCATAATGTGTAAAGTGCACCCTTAAATGGTCCTGGAATATAGAAACTCCATCATGGAAAAATCAGTGAGTTTAGTCTTAATGAAATGCTGGGAACCTTGTTACAGATAAATTTAAGAAGGTTAAACTAACCGTCTAAAACTTGATTTTGGGGAGATGTTTCGTGCTGAAAGATCTTTCTTTTCAACATCATATCCTTCTCTCTCTATTCTGTTTTGATATTGCAGGAATATTTTATTGTATATGAAATTAATGATTCAAATTCCAGAGAATTTTCTTATAGGATATATGTTGTGAACACCAAGCAAGCTATTCTAGCAGGAATGCATGTTTTGCCCTTTGGAATCTTCCAGACATTTTCACAGGTCCGGCCTATACAGGAATCACGGTCTAACTCCAGAGTTGTAACTATTCTCTCATCTCTGAGTGCGGATGCTGCTTGTAGCTCTGTCATGTATTTATAGCCAGTCTACCAAATGCAACTCAAGAAGTCTCGAGAATGAGGTCACACCTTCTGAAAAAACAAAGAACTATTTTCTGTCTTCCAACTGGCCCTGTTTCCAACCCCCTATTGGGCTCACACTCAATTAAAAACATCCTTACCTCTACATCTCTTTCTATTGTGTGACCTACATCTCTCCATCTTGCAGACAATCTTTGTTGGTTGTTTAAACCCTGAGGATCCAAGGTGAACATCAGTCATGGAGGGAAAAGATGGTAGCTATTCCCGTTTATACGCATTTAGAAGTCATGTAAATAAACATGAAGGATATGATTTTGTTGGGTACAAACGCTCTCATTACTATTCCTATTTTTTTTCCCCTTCATGGTACTGTACTGTTTATGTACGTAGATGTAGCTAAGAAAGTTCTGCAAATGTTTCCATCAGAAACTGAGACTAAAAGAAAGTTGGGGGCTAAGGCTGTTTTTCACATTTAAAAATCGTTTCCATAAATAAACATTATTGATATGGGCTCATTTGATACACGATTGCTCTATCTTCATATTTCCCTTTATTCTAATTTTAGAGTATTTTTTTTTATTTTTAATAAAAGCTAAAATTATATACTTATGGAAACTACATTACTTCAGATATTTTGAATCTGGATCAGAACATATGGTTCCAATTTTAAACTATGATAAACAGGAATATTTCCGTCAAAATATACTTAGAAGGATTACTTTAGCAATTATCATCCTATCGCACATATATAATCTGACACATTAGCCCACAGGTTAACACAACATATTTATCTTGTCCGAGACCATTAATCAGTTCCTTTAGCCGAGCATTAAGATCTCA